AAGGAAGACGGAGGAGGAGGAGTAGGAGGAGGAGGGAGAGGAGGAGGAGGAGGAGGGAGGAGGAGGAGGAGGGGAGTAGCGAGGCAGAGGAGGAGGAGGAAGAAGGAGGAGAGGAGGAGGGGCAAAGGCAGAGCGAAAAGGAGCCTCGCGCCCGAGGCCAGGAGGCCAGAGAGAGGGATTGACTGCGATCCTCGGACCACCCATCTGCCCCCACCACCCACCCACGCCCACCGCTCGCGAATATAAGCAAACGGCGACGAATAAGCCGGGAATTAAAACTACGCGCGCTAAGGGCCTCCTTACGCGCTTTCCAATTACCGCTGCCACGGCCCCACCACCGCCCACCCCCGGGCAGCGGCAGCACACACAGGCACAAGCCGGAGCAGCAAGGCAGGCAGACCAGACATGCTGCAACACACCCACCACACCCGGGGGCAAGATCCTGCAGTGTTACCTTCTATAACCGTACACCCCCAGCCGCCCCTGGCTGCTGCTAGCTGCTAGGCTGCTGCTGTCTCGCCCCATCAACGGGCCCCGCTGCTTACGCACGGGGGCGCGGAGCCGTGAGCACGACCCGTATTGTAAGCGGGAATGCAGCATAGAGAGATAGGTAGTAGGCAGGGCAGGCAGCAGCAGGCAGCATCGCCAGCAGCATGCAGTAAAGCAGCCAGCCAGTAGGCGGCAATGCAGCTACAGCAGCAGCAGCATGCAAGCCGGCGCCAGCAGCAGCAGCAGTCAGCATGCAGCAGCAGGTAGCAGCACAGCAGCAGCAGTAGCAGGGCAGCAGCAGCATTGCAGTAGAGCAGCATGAACCTAGCTCTAGAACTATAGCCCTTCGCTCCACCACATGCAGGCCTACATGGTTCTAGAGCTAACACGTACCTAGCTACGGAGGACAGTAGCAATAGCAACACGTTGGCTTGCAATAGTAACGAATAGTAAACTAAACTTATTGTCGTATTCTTGCGTTTTCACAGTTTAACTATTGTAGCGAGGGTAAGGGCATCAATCGTACTGCATGTCACTCATTACCTATGTATTGTACACAACCTATGTATATATACATATACATCAAGGGTTAATAATGACATATTTGTCATTATTAACCCCCTGATATACATGATACACACGAACGCGACATAGCCTCATATATATAGGCTATATATATAGCTCTAGTACTCTAGCCCGCTTGCGGCAATAAGCCCGCCAGCGGCAACTGTACGCGGGCTATAGTACTAGAGCTAGGCTATATATAGCTCTTGACGATACACGTTCTATATATGATCATATTCTGCACACACGTACACACACATGCGTGAATATACAAATACACAGTACGTATATGTGTCGGTGTATTACATCACGGTGGAACTTACTGGACATCTTGTCTCGTGACGGTTGTCAACTACCATGCACTCTCTACGTATACGCTGCTGTCTACAACGGTATCCGCTCTGTTTGTGTCCAGCCGTAGGCCTATATTACACGCTCTCCCCTCTGCTTGTGTCCAACGAAGTGTGCATAAAATACACGCTCATGACACCACCAGTAAACGCAAACGACTGTCACAGAATACAAATTATATTACAGTACACGAACAAAATAGAAATCAGAATAAAATAAAAATAAAATCTCTATTATTCACTCCTGATAAAATCTTTCAAGTTTAGAAATACAAATTACTGCTAGTACAAGAACGGTAGGTGTCAGCACTATCTAATAGCTCTGACCCCCGACACCTAATCAATGTATGCATTGCTTGGGTTGGGTGTAAATACCAATACCAATACCTTCCTCTCTCTGCTTGTGTACAGCAGTCAAATCCTCCGTCTCACGTAGCCTCACGGGATGAATATCTCGTACGTTCAACTATCATCACACACAGACGTACACACGGGTGTAACACGTAGATCACGGGGCAACACGGGAGGAAGAGGCGAGGCACGGAGAGAGGAAGAGATAGCGAGAAAGATGCTGTCTGATGCACATGCGCGTGACGCCATAGCAACACGTGATGCAACACACCAGTTACCCCATAGGCAGGCAGGCAGGCAGGCACGCAGGCACGCACGCATGTCCGCATAATTTTTATGTTGACATTCACACGCACGCACGCACGCACGCACTCAAGCACGCACGCACGCACGCACACACGCACGCACGCACGTACGCACGCGACCACACACGCACGCACGCGACCACGCACGCACGTACGCACGTGCACGCACAATCACAGATATACACATACGCGTTCTCTAGCACTCTCAATGCAATCATTCATGGTTTCCTATACGCACAGTTCAAAGCCTATATAGCTAGTCCACGTACGGTATAATAATTATAGCCAATAAGAATATTCCGTAATATTCTGGTTGGCCTTATACACACACACACACAAGTGTGTGTGTGCATGGGCGTGTGTGCGCGCGTGCGCATGCGTGCGCACGGTGCGCGTATGTGCGTGTGTGTGTGTGCATGTGCGTGTGTGTGTGCATAGGCGCACGCGTGTGTGTATGATGTAATGTCAACGTCAGTGGCCTTACCTTGTTTGAGTAACAGATCGCAGCGATACCTAGCAGGCAGCAGCAGAACAAACAGTTGAGGATGGACCAGACCATGTAGGTCGATGGGGGCGGCGACTGCACAACCTGAAAATACAAGGTGAACACATGCTAATAAAGTTTATCTCAGTTAGATCCAAATTAAGTTAAACATAACTTACACTGACGAAATTTTCGTCCATCTACCTGGGAACAACAGACACGGGAAAGTCTATCGGAGAGATGGACGAAAATTTCGTCAGTGTAAGTTATTTTTAACTTAATTTGGATCTAACTGAGATAAACTTTATTAGCATGTGAACTTTAGAGATCCGATGAAATTATTTAATCATGCAAGGTGAGCATATCTTTGTACGTGAGAGAACAACAGATGAGTGAGCGACAGGGTTTGCGGACCTTAACATTATTCCTAGATTTCTAGGGTGCGTGAAAGTGATTACGTCACCGGCAATAGTAAAAGTAAAAAAAAAATCGCACACTTTTACACAAAATGTAAGTGATTCTATTCACTTTTTATGGTTATTTTGCTATTTCGTTCGATGTGAACAAACGCTCGTGACCCATACATAGCCCATATCGAGAGCACATTTAATGTCATGAATCTCATGATCAATATATGAAATAGCCCAGTTTTTTGGATTCCTAACTAGTTGAAAAATAATCTTATCAGGTAAGAACTTGAGGATACATTTAGTGCCATTAGTATATAGTTTTCATGTAAAAAAAATTTCAACTAACTTTTGACAAATATACACCATATGAAATTCGTGACAAAGTCAATTGAATGAGTGAGAAGTTCAAATAGCGGGTTTGGGTGATTGATTGATTGATTGATTGCTTGATTGAGTAAGGGAGTGAGTGGAGTGTGTGTGAGTGAGTGAGTGAGTGAGTGAGTGAGCGAGCAAGCATATGAGTGAACGAGTGAGTGAATGAGCAACCCAGTGAGCGAGCGAGCAAATCGAATCAGTGATTGAGTTTGTGAGCGAGTAATGAGTGGGGTAGCGATCGAGAGACTGAGTGAGTGAGTGAGTGAGTGAGTGAGCGAGTGAGTGAGTGAGTGGAGTGTGAGCAAGGCACACACACGCGTGCAAGTACACTCACCACGACCTGCTGCACTCCTTGTTGCTGTGGTGCATATCGCATGCCTGGCTGTTGCACGTACTGCACTCCTGGTTGTTGCACGTACTGCACTCCTGGTTGTTGCACGTACTGCACTCCTGGTTGTTGCACGTACTGCACTCCTGGTTGTTGCACGTACTGCATGCCTGGTTGTTGGCCTGGTTGTTGTGCATACTGCATCCCTGGTTGTTGTGCATACTGTCCCTCAGCCGGCTGTCCGTACGGCATTCCTGGTTGCTGCGCCTGTTGTACGGGCTGCTGAGTGTAGGGAACCTCTGCAGTACAGAAATAAAAGCATGCCAATAATTAAGTAGCTCTGGTGCTACAGCTATTGGTTGCTGTGGGGAACAAGGGCTACTTACGCTCATAGGGTCTATGTCCCCCAGGGTACTGCCGGAACGTACCCTGCGTACGGTCCAGTATACCGGAACGTACCCTGGTCACTATTTGATATGGTTAGGGTTAAGATTAGGGTTAAGGTTAGGGTTAGGGTTAGGGTTAGGGTTAGAGTTAGGGTTAGGGTTAGGGTTAGGGTTGGGGTTAGGGTTAGGGTTAGGGTTAGAGTTAGGGTTAGGGTTAGGGAGTAGGCGA